TCCCGCTTTACTTGTTTTTTTCCTGCTCATATTAGAAGTCACCAACCTTTCCCTGGTATTATCTCCGAAGGCAATGCCAAGGCGGATGCTGCCGCTTCGGCCGCCTCCACTCACCAGGACGTTTCTGTCCTTGTTTTATCTCCCATAACCCCATGGGACAGCCATTCATATTTTCATCAAAATAAGAAGGCTTTAATGAAACAATTTTCTTTAACGGCTACAGAGGCTGCGGCTATCATACAACAATGTCCCACCTGCAGCCTCCAAGCACACTCTGTTCCTCAAGGGGTCAACCCAAGAGGGACGCAGAGCTGTCAACTTTGGCAAATGGATGTTACGCAATATTTGCCATTTGCCCCCTGGAAATATTTGCATGTTTCCATTGACACCTATTCAGGTTTTATTATGGCCATCCCTCAAAGGGGTGAGTCTGCTACACGTGTTATGAATCATTGTATTCGTACCTTTTCTATCCTGGGCAATCCAAAAGAAATTAAAACTGACAACGCTCCTGCTTATACCAGCACCTCCTTTGCCCAGTTTTGCTCTCACTGGTCTATTGTTCATAAATTTGGCATTCCATATAACTCCACTGGTCAAGCGATCGTGGAATGAGCCAATCAGACCGTAAAAAGGGCTCTAGACATGCATGCAAAAAGGAAAGGGGAAAATACCCCCGGCTTGCCTGGGATACAAAACACTCTTAATCTTCTACTTTTTACCTTAAACTTTTTGAATGTTTCTGGCACCCCTGGCTCAACTGCCGCAAGCAGGCATTTTTCTGCTTTTCCCACAGATTCTTCACACCCCCAGGTATACTATCGACATTTGCCTGATCCCACCTGGAAAGGGCCTGCCTCCCTCATTACCTGGGGTCGAGGTTAGCTGCAATAGACGACCATGGCGAGATCATTTGGACTCCAGCTCGTTGTGTTCGTCCTTATATGGCTCAACGTACACCACCTTAGCCAGGCATATGAGGATCAGGGACTGTGGGCCTTTAATGCTTTTGTACGGGATGCCAGGCACACTGCTCTTACACTTAACGTCACAAACTGTTGGATTTGCATGCAAATTCCTGGTGACAGTCGTGGTGGCCTCATTTTCCATGCCATCCCGTTCAATGAAACAGGATGGAAGCAGCTGTGGAACATAACTACAGAGACTTTGAATATGACATATGCTGTGGGCGCTCGTATAATGGAACCTGCCAGATTTTGTTTTTATAGCACAGGACTATTCCGTAGTGCCACTTATTTGGGAAATTATAGTAATTGTCAACAAGTTATTATATGGAATTCAGCAAAGAAATGCAAATCCATCAAAAGCAACCTTACTAAGATAAACAACACTTATCGAAGCAATCAATGGACAAACGTCAGTACCTATATGGCTTGCCTTGACATGGAATCCATAATAACATTTGCTAATGAATCTCGCCAGGGTTATTATGAGTTACCTGATATGTGGCTACTATGTGGCCGTAGAGCCTATCGCCAGGTGCCTAAGGATTGGAAAGGTACCTGTACACTGGGCCTTTTGACCCCTGCTGTATATGCCTTGCCTCATCTCCCTGATGGACGCCTGCGGAACAAACGTGATACTGGCTCCTCGGATCCACCCCTAACATTGGGTGGTAGTTTAGAGACTCAAATCAGCAGAGGAATATTGCCCAATCTAGGAGTTGCCATGAACTATAGGGACCTTCATTTGCTTAACAATTGGACTGTTCATATGTTTAATGAAACAATCAACAACATTAAAATAATTAATCAAGAAATGGGGGAAATAAGGGAAGTAGTTTTGCAAAATCGGTATGCTTTAGATATTATTTTAGCAGCAAAAGGCGGTGTATGTGCCTTAATTCATTCTCATTGTTGTATGTATATACATGATTTTCAACCTAATATTTCTGCTACAGCCAAGAAAATGGAATCTATGCTCCAAAATAATCCCTTACGCAGCGATGGATCAGGCACCGTGGATATTTGGGGTGCCCTTTGATCCTGGCTACCGGATGGATCCTGGCTACAATCTTTGATTTCTATTATAGTAACCATTTTGATATTAATTGTATTGCTATGTTGTTGCATTCAATGTATTCCCTCCCTCCTGCAAATGTGCAAAAATGTTACGCCCTCCACTAGGAAGGACGCCTTAATTAGTGAATCAAGATCCCTTCTGGAACTGGAAGTGAGCAACATTAAAAAAACACAAAAGCAGGAAATGTGGGATTAATTGCACAAATATACCCATAGAAATGCTCCCACAGGGTCCTTGAGATAACAAACTGACTGCTCCAGACACAGGATACATTCATCAGCCATTTGGACAGAGTCTGATAAGAACACCTGCGTAGCCTTGCATCTGGAGAGTGTCTGTTATGCGATACATTGTAACCACCCCTATATACGTCTTTTGATTACGCTGTGTGATGTAAAAACTGTAGTAACAATAAAAGAGGGTGTTGGAGTCAGCTCTGGGCTCCCATCCCGAGATACCTGCATGCGTGTCTCATTCTCCATGGGAGACCACCACAATCCACAGTTCTATTATCAATATTCTGCTCTCTTCATCTTTATATACCTATTTGGCCAAGATACCCTCTTTTACATACATTACAATTCCCCCTTTCTTCTTTGCAATGAAGATATAAACGTATTTCCTAACATTTTAACAAATATTGATGCTGCTGTTTTATGTGTGTCTCTTGCAACACTACTATATCCACATTTGTCTTATACAATTTACTAAAAAAAAAATTTCCTTTTCCCTGGAGAATTTAACCCATTAACATTTAATGATAGAATTGCTAATGCCTCTTGAAAACCTATACTTATACTTAGGGTTTGTTGCCCTCGTTTGTCTAATTTCTTTGTAATCCTTGCATCCACCATCATTGTCTTTTCCAGTGTCCACATTCGCTCTTTCCCTGTTTTCTTTTTCCTTGATTCGGGATTCCCCTCTATTTGGTGACTGTTCTCCTGGTTTTCCTTCTTCCCTTCTTTCTCTTTCCTCCGATTCAGCCTCACTATCAAGATTTTTTCTGTAAAACTCTTCTACTTTATCCACCGTGTCCAATCTCAACCTTCTTTCTCCCCAAAATACCATAATCCCTTCTGGAGTCAACCACCGAAAAATTATGTTTTTCCTTGTTAGTTTTGCTGTAAACATTTGATAGGGTCGCCTTAGGTCTCTTACCCTTTTCGGGACTTATTTGAGCACCACAAGCTGTCTTCCCCGTAGCTCTAGTGCAGTGTTTCTCAACCTTGACAATTTTAAGGCATGTGGACTTCAACTCCCAGAATTTCACAGTCAGCAGTGCTGGCTGTGGAATTCTGGGAGTTGAAGTCCACATGCCTTAAAATTGTCAAGGTTGAGAAACACTGCTCTAGTGGATCTTCTCTAGTACTATGAAGAATCTCATCGTAAGTCGATTTTTTAGCAAATCTAATATGCACTTCTCTAGGTAAATTATGTCTATGTGCATAATTTATGTGAATTCTATAGATCTCATCCATTTCCTTAATCATTTCTTCCTTCCCAGTTCCTAGAGTTCCTGCCAGTAGCTCCGCCATCATCTCCGGAAGATCTTCATTCTTTCCTTCCCGCGCATTCTGAAATTGTAAAAAATGGGAAGCCTTGTCTATTTCCAATTGGGTTATTGTCTGTTCGAGGTCTCTATTAGTTTGAATTAGTCTTTCTTCCATCTCCTCCACTTTCCTTTCTTCCCTTCCCTTCCCATTCTATCTTCCATCTCCTGTAGTTTTTGTTCATTTTTTAAAATTTGTTGCTGAAAGCATTCAAATTTATCATCCATCAATCTCATCTTTTCTTTCATTTCTCCCGTGTTGTTCCTTCTCCTGTCTCTCGTTTCAACTCCTCATGGTTCTTTAACATAACCTCCTGTATTGTTTGTAACATCTGTTGTAGATCCTTAAATGAGTTTGATCTTTCTCTCTCTGTAAAAGTCCTTCCGTAGATCTTTGCCCTGCTGGACTTGGTTCCATTGCTGTAGTTTGGATTCCTTGCCTCTTTCCTGTACCAATTTTTGTCAAATTTGGGATGCTTGTCATTTTTAATACCGCTTTAAATTAACTTCTCCACTACAGTTCCACTACAACCGTTTCATTAAATTTCCTGCATCCAAAATTACTCTTTGAGTTTCCTCAATTTATAAGTCAATTGTTAGCAAGCCATCCAAAATAGGTCTTATTTCTTTTTAAATTTTCTCTTCTTCCTTAAATTGTCACCAGTTATTCCCTCGGCCACTAGGTGTCTCTTACTCCTTATTATCCAAGTCAACAGTCAATCTTACTTCAACATGTCTGCGTTCTCCAATTAGTCAGCACTTTCATTCCCGAACTAAATTATCAGCAATAATAGATTTCCTCTTCCCATTTTCCCTCATGCCACCAGTGAAAATTTAATGCGCTGAAATGGTCTCTTCTTTGCCCCCACTTGCTATTCGCCGCTTTACTACGGAGGAAATTTCCTCCTTCCTCAGGCCTCCTTCTGACTCTTCCCTCTTTGCAATCCCCCGATAAGATCTTCACCCCGGGTTACTCACAGAGGGTTGCTAGGATCATTTTGCCCAGGTCCGTCTCTCATTGTCCAGCTAGTCCACTGCTAATGTTGTCCAACTGCCTGTTGTTCTCTCTTCCCGGCCACCATTATGGGCCGCCTTTCTTTCCCCGCTCGATTTCTCCAAGGCTTTCTGCCATCCACACTCTCAACTGCCGCTGAGAGCTGCACTGCAGGGTGTCTCTTTCTTCCGATTCCCCTCCAAGGAATCTGGGACTCCAAAGAATCCGCCGATCAGATGGAAAAAGCTATGTATTCGACTCTCATAGACGGAGAGCCGTTCTGCACAACTTTTCCTCTTGACAGCTGGCCCCGCCCCCCGCAATTTCCTAGTTTCAGTTTTGTGACATTCTGTAAATCTGTAACATTGTAATTGTTTCAGATGAAAAATCTGTAATATTCTTCTTGCCTTCTAGATGCTTGTGGCGAACATTGATTTAGGTCCTACTATATTAGATATTGCAGGATATGATCTGAATAAAACTCAGATGGATGGAATGTCATTGTTACCATTGTTGGTAAGTGCACAAATAGGTATTTATTTTGGTAATTTTTCTAAAGGTTCTTTAGTGCAACTGTCACTGGATTATAAAAATAAATCTCTTATTTTCACACAAACCTTTCTGTCAGTACTGGTAGGAATGAATTGCTTTGTTTGAAGCAGTATTCTTCAGATGCAGAAAAGATAATTTCTGTTTAAACTGAGCAGGTTATAGATGAGATCTTGTAAAATTAAGATGAGCCCTGTGAGTTTAAGAACCCTGGTCAAGATGGACAAAATGCCTCATCTTCCTGTGTACACTTAAGCAATGTGACATCATCTGTAAATTGTTTTTCACTAGTTGGGTTTTTGATGGTGCTACGTGTTGGAAAAAGGCAACAGCTCATCATGAAATTATTGAGAGGGTCTTCATATTTATTGAGTTTATTTCTATTCTAAGATTGTTCTATTGATTAGAAATAGATTGGTTAAAGAAGCTTAGACAGTCTCTGAGCCTTCAAAAAGCAATAATTCCCACTTTTGTTAATCGCTTTTTTGTTTTAGAGAGGAGAAATAAACAAGACCTGGCGATCAGATGTGTTGGTTGAATACCAAGGAGAAGGACATAACAGCAGTGATCCTACATGTCCTGCTCTTGGGCCTGGTGTTACTGTATGTATTGTTGAAAATGTTGCATTCCCTTTAGAATCCTTCATACTTTAAATTGTAGAGGGAGATGGCTGTATATGGAAATATTTAGTAGTCAAATGTTGGCTGGGCACAGTAAAATTAAATTTGGATGTCATTTTTGGAGGTCTCTGGGACGGACTCAGAGGTATATTCTGTTTCAGTTTTCTATACTATTTGAATGGCACTAAAATTATTCTAACACTTAGCTATTTTTATAGCACTGTTTTCCGGACTGTGTTTGTGAAGATGCATATAACAATACATACGCATGTGTAAGGACGCTGTCGACTAAATGGAATCTGCAGTACTGTGAATTTGACGACCGTGAGGTAATTTTGTCTTTGTTTTTGTAATTCCATGTTAATGGTAGTCCTTCATATATTTATGAAAATATAATACTTCTATAATTAATAATAATTTGAATTAAGCCTTTTAAAACTGTTAAAACAAATGCAGAAAAAAAATCAGGATGTTCCTATAAGATCTCTTATGCATTTACATATGTAATCATCATATGCGTTTTGGAGCTTACTACAAAAAGCAACTACAAAGATTCCTAAGCTTCTTTAAATTTATAATGGCCGTTGATTTTAATACTGTAAAGTAGTAAGACACATTTCTAAAAAATACTATATTTTCTAGAAGTTTTAAAGCTATATTTCTTTAAAAGACAGAAATATAATAACCATTAGCATCCATTGAAAAAGTTTATTCTCTGTGTTTCAAAAATAATGTCAACATTTTGTCCCAAGAAGTTTATAAAATGCAATGATTTGCTTTCACAAGCTGAACCTTAAGATAGACCAGAAAGACATTTTATGAGGAAAGAGCATTGTCATCCTAATTATCTTCTACGAAATAATTCCATATTTATTTCCTATTACACTTTATATCCAATTCCCTCTTACAAAAATTTACTTGCAGCCATGTATCATTCTAATATTTATCATAGATTTAAATGTTAGTAATACATTATATTGCTGTCATATATTTTAAATATCACAGCTATACATTTCCCACAACATAATTTTGAAATCCTGCAATGATTACCAACATTAGCAGTAAACACGTGGCAGAGGACTGTTCTGACTTAACAGCTAGTTTCTTTATAGCTGAGGGAAGACTGAGATTAGCATGTGCATCTACATAGGCAGCTTCCATTATAATATTACTATGGATGTTATCAACAGTGGAGGCAGTATATTTATGGCAATAAGTGGTAAATTTAAGGTTGCAATGAAAAATTAAATGTCAGCTCTTGTTTGAAGAGATACAGTTTCAAACCTCTGCTGAGCATTTTCAGAAGATCTGAAGTTGCTACCATGTGGGTATGAGAACAGCTGTATCAGCCACCCTAATGGTATCCACGTGGCTGCAATCTTACATGAATTCATTGTTTTTGATAAAACTGATGTGTGTTATTTTGGTATCTTAAGTCTGACATATTTATTTACTAGGGCTGCACATGCTTTAAAAATTATTTGAGAAAAATACTTTGAACCTATCTTTTTTTGGTCTTCTGTGTCTTTAATACCTTTGAGTGAATGAATACCTTTTTTATATATAAATATTTTATTGAGTTTTATAAAGGTAATAAAGGGATAGGGCCAAAAAGGATAAGACAAAGGGAAACATACAAAATGGTTAGACCAGGGGAAAGGGGTAACACAAAAGTGGGATTAATCCCACAAAATAACATCGCTTCAGCAAGTCTACCAGTCCAGGCTTACATATTAAATCTTAATAATTACTCTATTATTAAACAACTTTCAATATAATCATGTAAATAACAAATTAGTCAATAGCTCTCATTAATTTCACTACTTAACAATGCTTAGTATTAATTAATTATAATAACTTTAAAATAATAATATATTACATATTAATTATAGTTTACCATATTGCTTAAGATCACAAATATACAAAGAGGAAGAAGAAGAAGAAGAAATAAGAACAAGTTCATACAAATAATCATGGAATATAAATACAAATTATCAATTATCTCTTTAAATTTCATAACCTTTTCTCATTCTAGCGTGTTTCTAACCAATAATAAAAAATTTCCCCATGTTTTAAAATAAATTGTGTCTTCTTTCCTTATATGCAGCTGCTTTAGTAAATTTAATATTTCGGTCCCATAGTTTTTGCCAATCTTCTAAATCTATAGAATAACCAAAATTCTTTGCCCATATTATCATTGTTTCTTTCACTTGTTCTTCTTCCATCTTCCAATTTATCAGGAGTTTATAAAGTTTCTTAATCAGATTTTCATCTGTTTTCAAAAGTATTTTATCTAGTGGTGTCTGTTCTTTGTAGAATCCCATTACTTTTACATCTTTTTCATATCTTGTTTGAATTTGCAAGTATGACCACCATGTTAGATCAATGCCAGTTTGTTGAAGTTCTTGCCTATCTTTAAGTTTTCCTTCTTTATCTAAAATGTCTTTATAGGTCACAAGTTTGTCATAGTTAATTAAATTCGGATACGCAAATGCTTCCATTGTGGAAAGCCACTCAGGTATTTTCATATAATTTTTTTTTTAACTATCTCTCACTCTGAGAGTAATACGTTCCTTATGGCATGGGTTTGGAAATATTTATGTACTTTGTTTTTCTCGTACCAAAGGAAAGCATGCCAACCCAGTTGCAAATCATGTCCTTTTAAGTAAAGAAGTCGTTTATTTCTCAGTGTGATCCATTCTTTAAGCCACAACAAAATAGTGGCTTGGTAATAAAGTCTCCAGTCTGGGAGCCCAAAGCCCCCTCTGTCTTTTGATTCTTGTAGCAGTTTAATTTTGATTCTTGCTTTTTTCCCTTGCCATATAAATCTCATTATTGTTGCATTTATGTCATCGAAAAATTTCTGGCTTAGTTTAACAAGAACTGTCTGAAATAAAAATAACAGTTTAGGTAGAATATTCATCTTAATAGTCGCTATCCTTCCTAGTAATGATAATTGAAAGTTTTTCCACTTCTCCAAATTCATTTTTATTTGATTCAATAATCTTCCATAGTCATCTTCTTTTATTGTTATACATTTTGATGTTAAATAAATACCTAAGTATTTACTGTAACTTTTTTAACTATCTGGAGATTTGTTTTTTCCACAAATTGAGCTTTCTGTTTTTCTGTTAAATTTCTTGTAAGTACTTTAGTCTTTTCCCTATTTATTTTCAACCCAGCCACTTCTCCAAATTCCTCTATTTTCTGCAATAATTTAGTGGCTGTTTCCAAAGGCTCCTCCAAGATAAAAGCCAAATCATCTGCCAAAGCTTGTAATTTATATTTCTGATCTTTTATCTCCAGTCCTTTGATCTCCCCATCTTGTCTAATATTCCTGGCCAACACTTCCAGTGTAAGAATAAATAACAAGGGAGACAGTGGACATCCCTGTCTTGTACCTTTCCTAATCTCAAAATTATCTGTATAGTCTCCATTTATAAGTATATTTGCTGATTGTTTATTGTAGATTGCTTGAATTGCATTTATAAAATTATCACCGAAATCCATCACTTGCAATTGATGAAACATAAATTGCCAGTTAAGATTATCAGAAGCTTTTTGTTCATCCAAAAATATCAATGCCATTTGTTTCCCTGGATGTTTTTCATAGTATTCTAACACATTTAAAATAATTCTTAAGTTATTCTTTATCTGTTTTTTAGGCAGAAAGTCATTTTGATCTGAATGAATAAATTCATTCAAAAAATTTTTCATTCTTTCCTCTATTATTGCTGTAAATATTTTGTAGTCCACATTTAATAGTGATATTGGCCTATAGTTTTTAATTTGTGTGAGATCAGTATCATATTTGGGAATTAGAGAAATGTTAGCTTCTGCCCAGGATTTTGGTATTTTCATCCCCAAAAAAGTTTCATTACAAAGATCTTTCAGTATTGGACTTATTATATCTTGTAAAGCTACATAAAGAGTGAATGAATACTTTTAATGAATAAATTAACATTTAGATGAATTTTAACTTCTAACCAAACCCAAGTCTAGGCTTTCCATTCATGAAGAAAAATCTGGTTGAATTGATGAACAACTTCACTAAGATGTTAGAATTCAGAAGAAACGTCAATCACAACGATTTGTTAGATGAATTAAGTACATATTTCTAATAGCATTGCTTTTGCTTTCATGAAGGTGTTTGTTGAAGTTTACAACTTGACTGCAGACCCACACCAGATAACTAATATTGCAAAAACAATAGATCAAGAAATTTTAGAAAAAATGAATTATCGGCTAATGATGCTACAGTCCTGTGCTGAAGCAACGTGTCGCACACCAGGAGTTTTTGATCCAGGGTAAATATACTCCTTCAGTTATTATATTCAGTATCATCAGTATGCTGCTGATGGTTGCTGTACATATCAACCCCAGGCCAACCAAGTACTGCTGCTAAGTTCATGTTCCAATGCATAGAGGCTATGAAAGTGGGGGAGGACAAGTTGAAATTCAACCCTGATAAGGCAGAATCAATTGGGCTCTTGGTTCTTCTAGTATGAGGGATTTGGCATCTTTAGTTCTGGATGGGATTGGACATCAGTAAACATAACTGGTGTGGGCTTCTGGTTTGTGATCATGGTGCAGGCAGACAAGCGGGGCAATCGCTCTCTCTGCCGTCCGGTTTTCTCCCGCTGGGGGACCCTGAAGAGGATTGGAAGTTGTCCTGGAGGGGCGGCGAGCATGAAGAGGACCCCCAAGTGATCGCAGAAGGAGCCCTTCCATTTGATCCGGGGCAGCTCTTCTAACCGTCAGGGAAAAGATCGGCCATCAACATGGCCCATCACTAAGCTGCTAGGCCAAAATTACTAACTAGCACTTTGAAAGCAACGCAGAGGAATTGGGTGAGATTTTACCTTCTCTATACCCCAAGTAATTTTCCTGTCAAAAGCTTTTTGAAACTCTTCCCCCTCTGAGGAGAGAGGGAAGGGAATTCCCCCCCCCCACCCTCTAAAATGGTGGCATTTAACTACCTGGGGAAACAAAGCATTGAAAAGAACCAACTCAACAACTTAATATAACTGGATTTACACTTCTTTTTGGAATTTGAGGACCCCAAAGTTCCTACTTTTATGGGGATTTGCTATTTTATTTACTTATAAAAAAGAAGAAAAAGAACTTAAATTGGATAAAAAAACCTAGCCTGGGATTTGGAAAATATTTTCAATGCTATCGGAGACATCTTGTGGCAAAGCTTGGTACAGCAATCTATTATTTTTATTATTCTTGACAAGTGACTTACAGCCCAGATGTGACCTTGGTATTATCTAAGAGAGACTATAAGCTGAGAGAGTAGCTGGGCAGTGAAATTGGTTTCTAGGAATTGTGGAGGTGAACTGACTCTTGTTTAATAAATAGCCCCCACTAAAGGACTATTTATAACTATGTCAGAAATGGAGGAGGACAGCAACAAATGTCAGCTAATTATAAACTTATACTTGAAAAAAATTCTGGAAGCCACCGAGATAATTAAATCTAGACTGAAAGACCAAGGTGCCAGCTTAAATCTACAAAGCGAAACCCTGATTGCAACTAAAGAACCTACCAACTAAAAAAACAACAGAAGCGGAAGAAAATAATATCAAGACAGAGGGCGTTAAAGATCAACAAGTACAGCTTACTAAAAACTTAGACAATCAAACAACAACTATAAAATTGGACATGACTTTCTACTTAAACCAGAAGAAACCTGAGGAAGAAGAAGACCAGATCGAATTGAAGACAACTATATTAGAGCAAATATGGGGATATGAGCCACCAGGGCGACAACTTAATGATTATAAATGGGCTAGTTCCTTTAGAAAATTGACAATTAGATGGTCTCCTTTAATTCAAGTAACATGCACAAGAATGAAGAGAGATCTATCTGATGATCTAAAACAGCGGTTCTCAACCTATGGGTCGCGACCCCATTTGGGGTCGATCGACCATTTCACAGGGGTCGCCAAACCCCGCTGTCCGCCATTTTTTTCCCTTTTCTAACTGTTCTACTTCCTTATTTGGCTATATAGAAAGTGCCGTTCCTGCCTCCCTCCTCCTTGCGCATGCGCAGCTTTTTTCTATTTAAAGTTAGGAAGTTTCGATTTCGTAGCACGTGGAGGAAAGCAATACAGAGGACAAGCGAGAGAGAGCAAGCAGCGGAAAGCAAGAGAGAAAACAACTAAAAACAGTAAGTTTCCTCTCTGGCCTGCCACTGAGCTTCCTCTGCTTGGCAGAGGAATATATGTACCGTATTTTCCGGCGTATACGGGTACTCTCTAATTATTTCGGTGGAGTTTAAGTTTGTAGTTCGTTTTGTTAAAGTTAAACAAATGAATCAAAAATCCTTGCTTACTTATTTCTCTAAGCATCAAGGATCGCAAAGCAACATGACCCCCAAATTACTTTTGTGCATCAATTTCTCACTATTTCCCATTGTGCTAAACATGTCCCGAATTTGTAGGTTCCAGGTGAGAAGGATTTTGTCCGTTGCTTGCAGAAAAATGGTGGGACTCCCAGATTTTTTAGCCTGGCTGGCTGCAAAGGAAGCAGCCACTGCTTCTCCATGCAAGCCTTTGCAGAACAAGAGTTCCGTGCAGCAAAATGCAGCAACCAATCGTGCAAGAAACATCCCGCAAGAGAATGGCTTCCCCCTCTTATCCAATAAAGCGGACAAAACGCTTACCGTTTTTCTACTGCATGGCATTCTACACGCACGCAATCTCCCAAACTGAGAAATTGACTGCAAACAAGTTTGCAAGCCAACTTCTCCTAGGGTCGGAAGGGCAAAGGCACGCCAACGTGCCAAGGCAAGGGTTTTTTTTTTTGCATCCTATCGTAGAAATCCCCGCATCTTCCCTGCTTCTCCAGCTTCCCAGCCACTTCTCTCTTTGTTCCGGCCTCTCCCCTCACCGCCTGCTGCGCTCTCCAGACTACTGTTTTGGGCTCGTCTCGCCACCGCCCCATCCCTCACTTCTGAGCGCCACCTCCGCCTCAGGAGCCGACCCTCCCCTGCACCCGCTACCCTGGTCAAGTCCTTTCGCACGCTCCACTCACCACTCGCTTCTCTCCATTTAGCGCTGTTTGCGCTCTGCTCCTCGTAGCCACCGACGCGGCCTCCTCGCCATGTCCCAGCACGGCACTCCTGCTGGCGCACGCGCCGCTCACTGCTCAGCTTTAGGCGCCCTCCATCCCCGAGGCGCACGCCAAATGCACCACAAGGATCGAGTCTCTGGAGCTCGACCTACAGGAGCGCCGCGCTGGGACATGGCGAGGCAGCGGCGGCTACGAGGAGCAGAGCGCAAACAGCGCTGAATGGAGAGAAACACTTCTCTCCATTCAGCGCTGTTTGTGCTCTGCTCCTCGTAGCCGCCGCCTCCTCGCCATGTCCCAGCGCGGCGCTCCTGCTGGTAGGTCGAGCTCGAGAGACTCGATCCTTGTGGTGCGTTTGGCGTGCGCCTCGGGGATGGAGGGCGCCTAAAGCCGGCCACGGAGTGAGGAAAGTGGGGTCGGGATGATCTTCTGGAAGCTGAGGCAGGCAGGAGCCATGGAAGTGCAGTCGGTATCTGAGCCGTCGGTGGCAGCGGCGGCGGGGGCAGTGGCCCCCGGCACCAGTGCTCTCCCTTTGGAACCGGCAAAGGATACGGACCGCCAGCTGCGTCTTCGCCTCTGTGTCCTCAACCGAGCATGATTACGTGGGCACCCTGCGCTTCCTGCAGTCGGTAAATGCCGGGGCTCCGGAGGGTATGCCTGGACCCCGGAAAGGGGAGGGAGTCACTGGGGCAGGCGAAAGGTTGCGTCGAGGAAGAGGAAGGGCAGCTGTGCATCTGCTGCGGCGATGAGACCCGCGGCGGTGAACGTGGAGGGGGCGTTTTAGAAATTGCTACTGGTGGGAAAACTGGCCCGCAAACTGGCCCTTGATACAGAGGCTTGGTGTGGTTTTTAAATCCTCCCTTTCAACATCCCGAAGCCTTCAAGATGTTTACATACAGTTGATTGGTCCTGCCAGAGTTCATCAGGTGCCTGGTTTGCAAACGACAGTGATATAGTATTACTAATGGATTTTTATTTCTTAAGCATAGTGATAAAATCCTTTCTGGTCTGAAGGCTTGTTTTAAAGGGCTTTCTTTTTGTTGACTTTGTTCTCTTCCAAAAGAAGCTTGTGGTACATGGTTTAGACTTGGCAACTTTTTCATCAGTAAATCTTGGCTTAAGTTGAGACTCTTTTGACTATTTTAAAAGTAATTCCAGTCACCTTTGTAGTTTTCCTAGAAACTACCAGAGAAATGGTTTTTTTTTCTAATTACAACCTGTGTCATTTGGGGGTGGCCATGTCCACCAGATGCAGAGCTGCAGATACCCAGAATTGGTCCTGCAACCTTCCATTGTCTCCCACTGACTCAGATCCACTTAAAAAATATTCCTGTACTCTGCTTTTTTTCAAGTACAAACAAATGCTCAAAGAATTCAGCTTGGACTTTGGAAGGAGATGGCATCAATATGTTGATGGCATTTTGCTTGCCTTGTGTTTGGCCCAGAATCAGTGTCTGAGATCAGTAAGGGGTTGGGAGGGAGCCAGTCAACTAGCTGAGCTGATTGTGCAGTCAAATGGTGTCACTCTGCTTTCCTTTCCTCCTGAATGAATCTTCTTCACCTGGATGCCTTCTTGATGTGTGGATTAGAATTTGCCTCAACTGATGCTATCAACTGGTGATCTGGAGATACAGATCTTTGATACAGTTTTGGTAACTTCTGCAATGTGCTGCCTATGACTTCTGGTTTGTGGTTTGGTGATGTCTGTGTTTTCTTGCAGATGTTTCGTTACCAAACTAGGTAACATCAAACTAGGAAATACCGTATTTTCCGGCGTATAAGATGACCCCCAACTTTTGAGAAGATTTTCAGTGTTTAGAATCCTAAACCCTGAAAATCTTCTCAAAAGTTGGGGGTCGTCTTATACGCCAGAAAATACGGTATTCCATTTCTAGTTTATGTTTCTGTTACTACTAAACCTGTTTTAAGACTTTTATCAATTTACAATTTCCATAATCAAATATTGTTTTACTTCAACAGATTATCACTTCAATTATCTCTTCCAGATATGTTCAAGTTCTTAATCTCTCTCATCCCTCTTTTAATCACCAGTCTCATTTATATCTTCTTCCAATAAAAACTAACTTAGTTAAAAAAAGAAACAATGTTAAACCTTATTTCATTTCAATTCATTACACAAACTTCAAATCACATCCAAATAATTATCATACCTTACCAGATAATATTATTATACACAAAAATTACCTAATTAATTTAAGCACTTCAAAGTTCCAGTCTAAAAACTCAACATTTTTTCAATTCAAGTACATATATATGTCTATATATTGAGCAGATTCTGCCTACACTCCCTGAGATTGGGTGGTGCATCTTGGGCTCCCAAATCATGATGAATACTTAGTTATGTGGCCACCTAAATATGGACTTGTATTTTCTCATGGTCTCAGATCTCTGGCTAAAAATCTGAATTGCATGAGCCTGGTTTCTTTCCCAGGATAGTTGAGTTGATTTTCCACTAAAGGGGTAAGACTCCTCCCATGGAGTTGGTGATTGCTGGCTGTGAAGTTCTGGGAGTTGAAGTCCACATGCCATAAAATTGTCAAGGTTGAGAAACACTGGGTTTGAAAATAGAACAACACAGAGAATGGTAAATCATAGGAAACTTTAATGAACTGTTTTGACTGAACTATGCCATGTGTCATGTTTTGTATTATTGAAGCTATTGTTACATATTTTCACTAGCAAACCATTCAAGACAATGGATCCGAAGAGCATCAGGAGAAGGAAATACAGTGAGGATTTCCTACAATATGGCTTCACGTCTATTTGTACAGTGGGAATCGAGAAACCGCAGTGTGTACTATGCTCCGAAGTATTGTCAACAGAATCAATGAAGCCGAACAAACTTAAACGGCATTTTGAGACCAGGCATCAAAGCTATGCTGGCAAGGACATAAACTATTTCAGATCCAAAGCTGATGCACTGAAGAAAGGCAGACTTGACACTGGTGGCAAGTACCAGAAGCAAAATGTAGCAGCCCTTGAAGGGTCATATTTGGTGGCACTCAGAATCGCCAGAGCCATGAAGCCTCACACTATTGCAGAGGAGTTACTGTTGCCAGCAGCCAAAGACCTTGTTCGAGTTATGATCGGAGAAGAATTTGTGACAAAATTGAATGCAGTTTCCTTGTCCAATGACATTGTCCGCAGAAGAATAGATGACATGTCTGCTGATATTCTTGATCAGGTAATCCAAGAAATTAAATCTGCTCCACTTCCAATATTTAGTATTCAGCTTGATGAATCTACAGACGTTGCAAACTGTTCCCAGTTACTGGTTTACGTGAGGTATATTAATGATGGTGACTTTAAAGACGAGTTTCTGTTTTGCAAACCTCTTGAAACAACTACTACTGCACGTGATGTATTTGACAAAGTTGGTTCATTTCTGAACGAGCATAACATATCTTGGGAAAAGGTTTGTGGTGTTTGCACAGATGGTGCTCCAGCTATGCTAGGATGTAGATCTGGATTTCAACGTTTGGTACAGAATGAGTCACTAAAAGTCATCGGAACTCACTGTATGATTCATCGGCAAATATTAGCAACAAAGACGCTGCCACAAGAATTACGAGAAGTAATGAAAAGCGTCATAAATTGTGTCAACTTTGTAAAGGCAAGCAGCTTAAACACAAGATTGTTTTCACAACTGTGCAACGAACTGGATGTGCCAAACAATGCTCTGCTATTTCACACTGAAGTGAGATGGTTGTCGAAAGGAAAAGTTTTAAAACGTGTTTTTGAGCTTCGTGATGAACTCAAAGCATTTTTTATTCAGAAAGAAAGATCGCAGTTTGAAGCTATTTTCAGCGATAACAGCGAACTGCAGAAAATAGCTTACTTAGTTGACATCTTTGCCATCTTGAATGAGTTAAATTTATCACTGCAAGGACCAAATGCAACGTGCCTTGATTTGACTGAAAAGATCCAATCATTCCAAATGAAACTGCAGCTTTGGCAAAAAAAATTGGATAAAAATAAAATTTTCATGTTGCCTACCTTATCTGCTTTCTTTGAGGAACATGACATTGAACCAGACAACAGGATTACGCTGATAAAATCTGTTAAAGAACACATGCGCATGCTTGCAGATGAAACCTCATCGTACTTTCCAAATCTACCTGACATCCCATTTGCACTTGCCAGAAGCCCATTCACAGTCAACGTTGAAAATGTTCCTGAGACAGCACAAGAGGAGTTCATTGAGCTTATTAACAGTGATGCAGCGAAAACTGATTTCTCCACAATGCCAGTTACAAAGTTCTGGATCAAATGTTTGCAGTCATATCCTGTTCTGTCTGAGACTGTGTTGCACCTGCTTGTTCCATTTCCAACAACATATCTTTGTGAAACAGGGTTTTCCAGCTTGTTGGTTATCAAGTCTAAATACAGAAATAGACTTGTTGTGGAAGATGATCTTCGGTGTGCTCTTGCAAAGACTGCCCCGAGAATTTCTGATCTGGTGAAAAGTAAGCAACCTCAACCTTCACACTGATGTTGGCTTTTTATGCATACTGTTGAAAAATGTAGCAATGTAGTTGTTTGTTATATTAAGACTGTTACCCATGCTACACCATGCTTCCACACAAAATTTCATTGTTTTGTAATTAAAAATAAATATTTAACAATATATAATTACATATTATTTTTGTGATTAATCACTATGCTTTAATTATGTTCAATGCAAATACATCCTGCATATCAGATATTTACATTGCGATTCAGAACAGTAGCAAAATTACAGTTATGAAATAGAAACTAAAATAATTTGATGGTTGGGGGCCACGCCCACTTGGTGGCCATGCCCACTTGGCCATGCCCACCTGGTGGCCACACCCACCTGGTGGCCACACCCACTTGGCCACGCCGCTGGGGTCACCACAACATGGGGAACTGTATTATGGGGTCACGGCATTAGAAAGGTTGAGAACCACTGATCTAAAAGCATTGGTACGGAAGCCTGGTTGGCATAAAAAGAAAACTAGAGATAGGTTTAAAAAGTGGGGTCTTTTGATTTAATAGAGAGGAGATTTTGAGATGAAGGCAAACTTCATTATTAGATTTAAATATTGTTGGGAAATAATAAAAAATAAGGGATTAATTGGCTTAATGTTGAGGGTTTAGATTTATAAGGGAAATAGAAATTAACTATTAGGTAATAGCTTTGAATTATTGTTTAGCCCAGGTAATACAGATGATGGATTTGAGATAATAAAGGATACTCCATTATTAAGTGGTGCCGTACTAGGATGAGAAATAGAAAATGTTTATGAAATAAAATAAGAATATATTTAAGTAGGTAATATGTGTATTTTATATATTATAACTTTTATGTAGTGAAATAAAGGAAATTTGGGTTACCCGAAACTTAAATAGTATGGATATTAAAGGTTAGATTGGAATACTGCAATTAAAAATTAGGGCTTCCGGTTCCGGATCGTGGCGCACCCAGTCGCACGGAGAGACTTGTCTCTTCGCCCGCTGCTTTCCCTCCACCTGTAGACCCCTATCGGGTCGAAAAGTCGCCCTGGAGGGGCGACCACCGTTGAGGAGGCTCTCATCCGACTGCAGAAGGGCGGCAGCTCCTTCCACAGTCCGAGCTAACTCCGTAGGGCCGACGGAGAAGAAGATTGGCCAGTAAAATGGCTGATCATCCAGCTGCACCAGCCAAAAGTCAGAAGAACAGCTAAGCATAAAGAACGACCGTGGTGAATCCAGGTGAGACCCTTCCTTCCCTCTCTTCGCCCTAATTACTTTCCTGTAAAAAGCCTTTGAACTACTTCCCTGTTTTAAGAGAGCAGCGTTTGTGTACTTGGGAAAAAGAGCTTGGACAAAAGAAATAAAATAGTTAACTTTTTATTGACTAATTAATTTTTTGGATACTTAGGGGTCCTGAAAAAAAATTTTCTATCATAGAACATTATTATTATTCTATTTATTATGTTGGAGGTATTTCTTTTTCTATTTTTCTAATGAGACAAAACTTTATTAACTGGAAAAAAGATTTTACAGTCTACTGAGGACATCTTGTGGTGAAAATTGTCATTGCAATTGTATTTCCCTTTGCTATTGGAAAATGGATTTGACCTTCAAATGATAATAAAAGGGAAAAGATAAAGAACTTGGAACAGCTGGGTGGTGAATTTGCCTACTAGAAATTTTGGAGGTGGATATTTGTTGACTCTTACTAAATACAGCCTTCACTAAAATATTAAAAGACTATTTCATCACTGAAATGGAAGAATCCTACCCACAGCTTGATTATGAATTTATACTGGAAAAAATCTTGGAAGCTACGGCGTACATGAAATCTTGGAGAAAAATTAAAGATATCTCAGAACCACAAACTGATTCTCAAATTTTAATGGATCAAACTATAGGCTAAAGAACAATAGAGCAGGAACAGAGTAACCCCAAAGAAGCCTCCACTCAACAACATATACAACCTAAAGAGATGGAGGAATTACACCTGCAGCACAACTATGAACTTACACCAGGAGAAATCGTGGAAACTATTGAGCAAATCAATTTTACACAACACCATATACAAACCATGGAGAATTTTGATGATCAAAGAATAACTTTAACTGAGTTACCTGAATTGTTAAAAACTACAGAGACTGACATCCAGACACAAGTCACTGAAAATTGTGATAATGTGGACAATCAACTAGTAATTATAACATGGAATAAAACTGATTACACCATTCAGATAACACTGGAAGAAAGGGAAGAGAACTTTGATCAGTCTGAAGTGTCGAGAAATACTTCTATTCATATATTGAGGTTTGAGGATGCAGAAGCTTTATTATGGAAACCGGTTTGGCACAGAAAGAAAGTTAGAGTTAGATTTAAAAATGTGTTTCAAAATTTCATCTAATGGGTTAAAAAGGCTTTAGAGATTTTGACTGATTTAATAACTAACGGAGTATGTGAATTCGGTAAAAGGATATTTTTTGTAATAATATTTTGTATTAGATATAATTATTGGGGGGGGCTAAATTTTATCTAATGAGTTAAAAAGACTTTCTATAACAATTATTTTGTAATAGAAGGAGAAAAAAAGGGATCTGTGATAAGAGAAGAAATGGTATTAATAAATGATTTATTAGATCAGTGATGGCGAACCTTTTAGAGATTGAGTGCCCAAACTGCAATCCAAAACTTCTTTATTGCCGGGTGCCAGGTGGGCGTGGCCCCCTGGGTGGGCATGGCTGTGGTCATGGCAGATTGGGTGGGAGCAGCCAAGGTGGGCATGATCACCTCGATGTTGCTCATGGGGAGGGACACCTGTAGGGGCCAGGCAGGGTTGGGGGAGATCCAGGGGGTGTCTGGCAGGTGGGGCGGTGGGCAGGAGGCTCGTCCTGTGGGGTGAGGTGAGGCGAGGCAAGGCGAGGCAGGATGGGGGTGCCATTGTCGCAGGGCAAGGTGAAGCAGGGGTCGGGGCGGCTGCTGCCCGACACCATCAGCCCCCGCACACAGACGCCAGCGAGCGCATGGGTGCTGGGATGCATCTAGCCATGTGGGACCTTGGCGAGTTAGCAGGCAGCTGTTTGAAGAGGGACAGTTGCCATCTCCAGGGCATGACGCGGAGGTAATTAGGTAAAACTTAAAAACATGATATGGATATGCATAAGCAAAAAACATATTAATAAATGTTTCAACTGAGTTTGATATAATTAGAAATTTACTAGCTTAAATATGATATAGTAAATGTTAAGGGAAATAGAGAAGAAATTTTTGATGATATAACCTGAGATATGTACTAAAGATTTTGTTATTGAACTATTGACTAACCCAATCACCACGTTGCTTTCCAAATACTCAAATGTAAAACTGGAAAACCAATAAAAATTAGTTATATATAAAAAAAACCTGGTGTGCATTTTAGATGTTTTCCTGGATTCTCTGCTTCTACTTGGAGCAGGTTGTGGCCAGGAAGACTATGCCAGATTCATCAGATACACCTATTGCAATCTGACTTGGTCCTCAGTCAGTCATGTCTTAAATTATCAACACTTGGCCTATTACATTCTCTGTGAGTATTTCTTGAAAAGCACTCAGAAGCTGCAATTGATCCAAAATGTGGCTGTGCAAGCAATTATGCCTTGATAGACACCTCTGCTGCGTGAATGCACTGGTTACCAATGTTCTTCCAAATGAGATTCATGGTGTTGGCTGTGACCTATGGACTAGAGCCTGGTTGTTTGAGCGACTGCCTTTCTCTCATTGTCTCTATCTGTCTTGAATGGTCCAACAAAGTTGACAAGTTGTGGGGTCTGTCTTTGATACAATGTCACCTGATGGTTTCAGGAAGCATGTCTTCTTTGTTGTGGCATCTGCCTTGTAGTATGTCATCCTGCAAAGCTTCATGTTGTTCTGGTCCTACTGCCCTTAATCAAGCCTTGAAGACTTTGCTCTTGATCCAAGCAAGCCTCGGGATAATAAGGGGTTTTCATGCCTTTTTATTATTGGGCCTGATTTGCTTTTAATTTTGGCTTTATTTTCTCTTGTCTCGTAATGGGAATTTTGTAATGGCTGTTTATATTGTAAGAGATATATGAATTCAGTGGCTCTATACATTTAATTAAACACACTTTGTCTCTCTTGCTGCATGTGCATGCATCTATAAACATTTCCAGATCAAAATCCATGTAAATGGGGCATCTGGTTATTTTTAGCATTACAATGAAACCTTATTTAATGAACCACATTCTGCCACATGTAGCATTTTCTATTAATTTTAGGGGATTTGATTTTTTTGGAGTGGGGGGGGGGGTGATACTGTGCTTTTTTATAATACAGGCTTTCCCGTCTTTATAAGTTTCCCTTGATTCTTGGTGACTGGCCTGATACTGCAGTTTTCTTGGCAACGTTTTCAGAAGTAATTTGGCATTGCCCCCTTCCTATGGCTAAGAAAGAGTGACTGGCCCAGACTCACCCCACAGGCTTTATGGCTAAGGCAAGACTAGAACTTGTGGTATTCCAGATTCTAGCCCAGTATTTGTAATCACTACACTACAGTACTTTTGAATTCAGAACTCAAAGAGATTTGGTAATGCATATATCTCTACCAAGATTTTTTAACAAATGTGTGTGTGAGAACTTTGCTTACATTTCTTGTTTCCCTTTTTCCCTTTAGGTATAAATTCAACCCACATCTGATGTTTGGCAACCAAGAATTTCAGACTCGCAGATTTCTTGCATCTTCCCTGTAGCTGAACCTGCCAACCTGGCAACAAACCTGTTGTTTGTTGCCAACTCCATTTCTTTGAAATGACTGCAGAAAACTACCTAATCTTTTCTGATGTCTTGAGAGATTAGATCAGCTGATCTTGCTGATTAAACAAACTCTGACCATGTGTTAGAGACATGATATGTCCTATCTACTCAAATCTGATTGCCACACATGTTTCATTTGAAGTTAAATATTAATTTGGGATGTGAATCTGAATGTCCTTGTTTGGTCTTGTTACAGAGGTTAGGACTGCTGTCTCCTATGTACAACTATTAACAGCTTTTTAAAAGATACAGTTGCATCTCAGTACTGCTTCCTTTCTGAATCTAGTGAATTAAATTAAGCAGGTTAGTTGCCATTTGTTTTCTTTCCTGTTTTTCAGGGTTAATCAGGATCACTGGCTAGAATATATGTGTCTGATATTACACATATGTTGTTACCTACAGAATCAGCTCAATATTTTGAGTCAGTATCAAACCATTAAATGTGTATCCTCCCACCCACCCCCAACTGTATTTTCTGCTTGAAGTGTACACTGAAACAGTACAAGTTCTACAGTGAAATTATAAGGCATGCCACTCTGAATATTTAAACTGGAACTTGGGCCAATAGTTTAGAAGACCTGGTATCCTTAGGTGCAATAACTAAAATGAAAATTGCATTACATCAGTACAGAAATTCCTTGCATTATAGGACATTTTTTTTCATGGATGCATTTGCATCTAAATCTAAGCGGGATGGCTATTACATGGCTCAGCACATTTGTATTCTTCACTTGTAATGCAATATATTTTTACACTGGATAGTTCTTAAGAAAATGTCTTCATAAAAGCTGGTCACTGCATAAGAATAGCTTTCTGAATGGACTTCTTGCAAATGACATGGAACTTGTTCCTGGGCAAAGCAGAGTCAAAGACTAGCTGTTTCTCAAAAGAAAACTGGCATCTTTATGACAATCTATTAAAAAGGATATAACTCTTATGGTGGATAAATAATTTGAAATAAGATTGCTTCATTTTATAACTTATAAAATCAATTTTTATGATAGTTTCTGTCTGAAGAGAGTTTCTGTCTGAAGAAATAGCAAGACAACAGCAAATGACTCTGAAATACACTATTGAACATCTGATCAGGAGTGCAGTTCCTTCTTAAGTGCCATTTCTTTCCGTACTTACCTTTTGGTGAATCTTGAGCTTTGATTTATTATAGCTGAACATGTTCAAGCTTTTGTATTGTATCTTTAGTTTCATCAGTTTAGAGATTAAGGATCTAAATCGAACAATACATGGAAAACTGACATGCGATTGGATCCAATCTTATGCCATCCTTAAGGTGTAACTTAAAATGATGGCACACATTACTCATACCCAACTTGTACCCAGGTTATTTCAACATGTAGGAGTGTAAACTATGACCAGGTCTGAACTTAACAGCTGGATGGTTCTGAAATCAGATTTGTTTACATTTAATGCTTTCAAAGTTCCAGCAGCTTTTAACATTCTTAAGAAAGTGATTAAATTTCTCATGTGATTGATACCTAACATACACTTGAGGTAATTCAGGTTCATGCCTAGCAAAATATTTAAGATTATTTTTATGTCTGGATCAGAACATAGTATTATGTCTTCCCTTCATACTATAATGACTAATCATTCAAAAACAGTGCAAAACCTAGAACAGACAGAAATTCAGTATTGAACTGTTGCTTACTGTATATTAGGCTTGTTTTATTATGTACAACTATTATAGAAATTCACCTATGTATTTTTCATATTTAATTAATGCACTCATAAACAACTTCTAAATTAATTAGTAGTGTAAGGAGAAATCAGGAGTTAAGCATAGAATTAACATACTGTGAAATATTTTGATGGTTTTGCTTTCCTATTAAATGGCTTTACCTTACAACACTAATCAATTTGCACCTTAAAATGTTTTTAACTGTTTTAGATATGAAAATTACACATGGTTGCAACTTCAGTATGAAAATCGGACATATTTTCGAAGATTTCAAGATTTACAAAAAATCAATACGGAAAAATATATATATTTGAATTTGCAAACCATCTGAGCTTGAATGAGAAATAGCATCATTCCCCTGTAATAGCTACTCAACATTTATCTTCCTATGTCCTTGATTTAATCATTTTAACAAAAAACAAAAATTATAAACTTCTCCAGCATTATGAGTGGAGAATCCACTGGTAGGTTGTATCAGCCTTCTTGCTCAGAAGAGACTAAGTCTAGAGAAGTTGCCACGCCTTCTGCTGGGCTAGACTGTCCCAGTTTTTGACTTAGTCTTCGCACAGCAGGATGCTTTAATTGAGGCTCCTCTAGGCTTAGTACTAGGCTAAGAACCCTCATGGTTTTTCCACTCACTGTCAATTGGCTTTTTTTCTAAATTTACCTGTTTTTCCAGTAGTAAATTGGCCTTTTTTCACAGCTTTCACAGAAGCTATTCTGCCTCACTCAGTCTTCCCTCGGCCAATCCGAGCCTCCCAACCAGCTGGGAGGGCTCTCCTCACGGCGCAGGGCATTCGCCGCATCCAGGCAACCCCCTGCTGATTCTGGTGCCGGGAAGTCTGGCCGCAGCCTCTGCTGGCCTCAAAATCGCTCGCAAGCTCCCGGACGGCTCATTGAGACTGGCCGACGCTCAGGAGGCTCCGCAGAGCCGGAAGACTCCAATTGACTTTTCTGACTTCAGGACGGACACAAGTGGGATGGAGGAAAAAAAAGAATCTTTCCTTATGGTCAGCAATCTTCCCCACGGGTCCCAGAGCAGGTCGTCTGAGTTGTAATTTCCTCAGAGGCACAGCTGGCAAGGCCCTGTCAGTACACAGACGACTGTTATTTTTGGTGCGGCCGCCATTTTGGGTGCTGCGCGAGGACTCATTTGCATGTTTGGATGACCTGCTTTATCTGCCAGAGTCACTGATCCCTCTAGCAGATTTATCTGAGGCACTTCAAGAGAACTTGCCACCAAATTCAGATACCCCTGGTGCAGATTCATTAAGAATTCATTTACTTCAGCTTGGGGCACCCAGGGGGTGGTGAATTTGGTGCAGCCATTTTGAGCACCGCCAGAACGCTCCTGAGCCTAAAATTAGCTACAGGACCTGACAGACAGGCCTTTGAGGCCTTCAACTGGTGGCACCAGCCAGAGTTCCAAGGGGCTTTTCCTTACCCCTTATATATCTAGGTGCCTAGGGAGTGACTGGCCAGCCTCCATTTCTGGCTGCGTCCCCTGAGTGACATCAGGGGCCTTCGCCCTTCTGGGTGGAGCCAACAATTGGCCATTAAATTCAAGCCTTTGATTAAATTCAGGCCCTTGATTACAGGTAGCTTTAGAAAACTACCTGGCTGTCAGCCCTTGTTGTCTTGGTCAGAGCCCGGGATTCCCTCTCTGACAGACCAGATTGTGATTTACTCCCACCTCAGATATCTCCTACCCGGAATATCTAGAGTATAATGGCAGACAGTGACACTCCTCAACCTACGCAGGGCTCTTCTGGCTCCCCCGCCAAGAAGAAACGCAGATCCTCCAAATTGGAGGCAGCAGGGAGGATTAAGGCCAAGGCCAAGGCCATTTTTACCAAGAAGCCCTCCAAAGCTGCTGAGAGAGAGGCCACGAGGAGACATCAGGCGCTAGAAAGAGAGTTCTCCAGAGTTCAAAGGCTCTCCTCCAGTGGAGCAGACTTAGTTTCCCCCGTTCCACTAGAAAAATCACCATTCAAGCCCCAGTACGTGCCACTTACCACAGCCCCGCAGGCATGGTCTCAGGGGGAAACTGGACAGGTGAATCTCCCCCCTCCTTAGAGGTACCAGGGGGGTCTCCCCTGGTCTCCCCTTCCCCAACAGGGCCCGGAGGCCACATTCATGCCCACAGCGGCAGGCCTTCATCCAGTACAGCAGCAGGGGGTATGGCCTGACCAGCTTCAGGCTCTGATGGCTCAAGCCTTCGCGCAGTACATGGGATAACAGCCCTCTCAGTTGCCTGTACCTTCACCTGCAACTTTGCCCCAGACTGAGCCAGCCCTGTTTCTGGGCTCTGCCTTCTCGGACGGATCTTCGCAGCAGGGAGAATCAGGATCCGAGGACTGCGATACCTCTGGCATGCTAATGTTGGATGACGAGGAAGCATCTCCAGATCCTTCTCCAGTTACCAGCCTCTTTGACCCATCCCTGTTCAGGTCGTTGCTCCTGAAAGCATGCACTTTGGCCAACATCGCCCCTGAACAGGAACCACAGCCGACACCTCCCACCACCCAGGACTCGAACCCATTGTTCTCTGAGCCAGTGGTCACAGAGAAGCAGATTCCTGTTCTGACTTTATTCCACAGCATGGTGCAAAAGCAGTGGGCATCCCTTGGCTCTCTCCCCACTCCAAGTGGGACGGAGAAAAAACTTTAACGTTTCTTCCTCCTTTTCTTTGCTCCTGGATGTGTCACTAGCGGATGCGCCTTTAACCTCTCTATTTCTTCCTCCACTGTACCAGGAGACATGGCTGAGGCTCTGAGGGCGGAGGACAAGAGGTTGGAGTTTTTCCTCCGTAGATCTCATCAAGCCTCGGTGTGGTCTGTAAAGGCAGTGACATTGTCATCTTTCTTCACCAGATCCTCCATCATCTGGCTCCATGAACTCCAGGTTCTGATTCCCCCAGACCAGGTCCGGGCACAACAGACCTTGGGCAAGCTGGTGGCCGCATCTGAGTATGTAGTGGACACTTTGCTTCACTCTTTCCTCCCGATCCATTGCAGCCAGCGTCTCAGCCCACAGACTCCTTTGGCTTAAACAATGGCGGGCCAACCTGAAGTCCAAGTGGCATTTGGCAATAGCCCCTTACAGTGGTACTCACCTTTTTGGCACAGCCCTTGATCTCTACCTGATCGAGGGGAAGGACAAATGCAAAGTGCTCGCGCCCATTTCTAGACAAGCAAACAGGAGATCCCAACAAGACTCCAGGAGGCAGTCCTTTTGTCCCGGACCAGCCTGGGACTGGAGGCAGTCCTTTTGGGCCGGACTGGCCTGGGACTGGACCCGAAATCCTCGCTCCTTTCCTCCCAGGCCCTGTTCGTATCCTTTCAGCCCTCTTCCATGGGCTAGAAGGTCTCTTCTTCAACCATTGGGAGGTGGATCAGGGCATGCATCGCCCATGCTAATCTGTCTCAATCCCTACCGGTTCCTGGCCACATCACTGCCCACTCCACTCGCAGTCTGGCTACGTCAGCAGCCTGGTCTACACAGGCGTCCATTGAAGAAATCTGTAAGGCGGCAATTTGGTCCTCCCTTTCCTCCTTCATCAGGCACTATAGGTTGGACAAGTTTGCCTCTTTGGATTCTTTGTTTGGCCGGAGGGTGTTGCAGCAAGTGATTTCATCTAGTGGGACACAAGCCCAGACTAGTTCCCCCCCGTAGGGACATGAGCGGCTTTGGTATGTCCCACCAGTGGATTCTCCACTCAACATGCTGGAGAAGGGGGCGTTGTCTTACCTGAATACCTTTTCTCAGCATGATGATGGAGAATCCACACCCACCTTTATGGGCCGTCTGGTCCTGTGTCTGGGGTAAGAGGAGCCATCGCGCCAAGACTATTGTTGGTTGCTTTACTTAGGTCAAAAACTGGGACAATCTAGCCCAGTGGGAGGCGTGGCAACTTCTCTAGACTTAGTCTCTTCTGAGCAAGAAGGATGATACAACCCACCAGTGGATTCTCCATCATCATGCTGAGAAAAGGCGTTCAGGTAAGACAACACCCTTTATAATATACAATGCATTGTTTGGGCAGTTGTCTACCCACGCCTTATTATGAAGTTACTATGATACTGTTGGATACTAAAATGGGCATTATAGAATATTAGTTGTATATAGATATAACATTTGTACATAAAGGGGAGATATGCTTGGCAAATACATGACAAAAAGCCATTCACTGGGGATTTTTTTGGTCTGGCAAGCTGGTATTAACACAATTGTTTAATAACATGGAACTATTGCCATGTTTCATAAACTTCCTGAATTGATGTGACTGCTAAATCGGATTTTGCTGTTTGTGCAAACATTTTGCAGGAACAAATGCAAATTAATTTTATTAATTCAACTAGAAGGGCTAAGTAATGCTTTCCCCACACTATGCTAAAATAGCTGTTCCTCTTTTTAAAAACAATCACCCAAAAGCAAATGCTTTAAATGACAAGTTGCCCTTAGAGATGTTCTGCGTGATATGCTAAGAGTTACTGCATGAACTGTATGTGATGTCAGGTTTCCAGATGCTTTTATGGCAATCAAGAATTTTCTACATTGATTAATGTCAAAAATTAGCTGTTTGCAAGGCTGCTTGAAGCCATTTCATTCCATTTCACAGTTTTCTTTATTGTGTCAATGTGTCTGTGCAATATGGGAACTGTACAAACATACATTCAGTATTTTTAATCAAAAGTGCCTTTTTAAGGACTGTTTATTGCTGCACACAATTTCAGCGATTAAATTTGTCTATAATAAAGTGAGCATTTAAAATCAATGTACTAATCAGTGTGCTACTATACAAATCTAATAACTGCTCAGCTATTCACCTTTTGGTACTTGGGCCTAGTTGATTAGGAACAAACACTGGGAACTGCTATAAAACATGGCGTAGACCAGTGATTCTCAACCTGTGGGTCAGGACTCCATTTGGGGTCGAATGACCATTTCACGGGGGTCGCCAAACAATGCAGTCCGCCATTTTCCCCCCTTTTCCTTAGCTGTGCTACTCCTTTTTATTCTATTGGCTTTTGAAAGCCAATAGAATAGACTCTCTTGAATAGAGTCTAATTCTATTGGCTTTCAAAAGCAAATAGGAATTGTCCAGGCTGTCTCTGCCCTGCTGAGCCCACCAAAAGTCTCATTCTGCAAACGGTGCTGCACCAGTTGAGTAG